TATTTGGGAAACTCCCGTCTTATGGGTACTACTTTTAGACTTTATTAGACAAGATTTGAGCTACATCTGGGGTTCATCTTTCCCACTGAGGCGCTCCCATCCTGAGTACTTTGCTCAGTGAATAACAGCCCTGCAGACCCTAGCACAGTTGATACCATGTTAGAATCACCATTCTGACCTTCAAACACAGCATGCCTCCCAATAACCACAAAAATGAGAACAAAGACTTAGTCCATAGTTCAAGGAAAGTCCCAGATGTACTAACCTTGCTTTTTGGTTTCTGTTTCTTGCTAACTAAAGTGTGACAGCCAAAACATAGCTTTTGTGCATAAAAGACAAAGGGACATAAGGCTTGGGGCTGCATGATTTGGGCAAGTTCACTGTGCAGCCCTCAGACAGCAATAAAGTCTATCTGTATGTCTGTAAGAGTGTCAATGTCATTGGTGTTCTCTGGTGGACTTACCTCACAGCAAGTAACCCCTAGGGAATGATGCTTTCCATTCCAGTTAATTAGAGCAATAAATATTCCTTTCCCTCAGTAACCTGTAGACAGTTTTAGTTATTGTCATTTTTTGTTTAATCATAGGTTCGGATGCTTTCCTCACATGGATGCATTATTCCTTTCCTTAGGAATACTCCATGTGGACCCTCTACAGACATTCGGAGTGCAATCATTATGTGTGTCTATGTCTCTTTTTTTCCTCTCCCTCCCCTGGCAATGCTGGCTATTCTCTCAATGATGGAGACCAGGGGCCTATGCCTGGTTCCTTATCCCTGTTGCACACAGTTTTAGAAATTCACCCAGGCAGAAAGTACTCTTGCAGAATGAATGCTCCTTGTTTCCCACTTTTCGGGTATAACCATACTAGAGTGACTGATAACTATTTTTTTTTTTAAAAAAAAACTTAAGAAAGTACCTATTTTTTCCAACAGATTAATATATGACCCTTGATATTTCCCTTTGCTTTGTTTTTGACTTAAATCCATGAACTTTTACTCTTCATTTAAGAAGATACTAGTCATAAATAATCACAGTTTCCTAGAGGGTTCTAGTTCCTGTAAGCTGGGGTGATGAAGTGTATGGACTATTCAATGAGGACCACCAAATGGTGTTGGGAACTCTCAAGAGAAAAAATAACAGATCCCAAAACCCCTGGAATGTGATGTATCAGAGCAAATAAGGGAAATCTTTTCATTTCTTCCCAGGTAGCAGAGTATTTTGAATCACATAAATCCTTCTATAGAAACACACCCTAAAAAATGGACTGTTGGAAAGAAAAGCTGTTTATTTTAGTCAAGGGAATAGAAAAATAACCACATAAAAATTAAGCAATGTCATATTGAGGTGATTATGACTTATAACAGATGTGTTCAGGTAAAAGGGTTCCCGTGGGAATGAATTTATAGAGGGAGAAAAATGGTGAAGGAAAGCAAAGAAAAACAAACTCATGCCAGATGAAACAATGTCAGATTCAGAGAAGATGGGGCTTCAAGAATGGATTGTTGTCAGCAATATGTTGGGAATATTAGGGGAAAATTTCACAGCCTGGAAACAGATTCACACCTACTTCCTGAATCCATAGCAACCAGGATTGAACCATAAGGACATCCTCTTCAGGTGGGTCCCTGTACATCCTCACAGTGCTACCTAAATTAGTTATCCAAGTTTGCAAGAAAAGCTACAAGAGGCCAATAATTCTTAAGTTAGGGACTCTGACTTTCTTTTTTTTTTTTAAATTTATTTATTTATTTAATTTTTATTATTATTTTACAACACCATTCAGTTCAACATAATAGCCACAGATTCCCCTGTTCTCCCCCTCTCGCCCCCCCCTCCCCCCAGCCCACCCCCTATTCCCACCAAGTTGAACTTGGAAGAGTGGTTTTCTTTCTCTTAGGGTAAGTGAATTCACACTAACATCTTACAGAGTATATTTTTGGTGAATTTCTCTCTCATTGGCAACTAGACAATAATCTTGACCCCTTGGAGTATATAGTATAGCAATTCTTGACCGTTTTATAGATAATCCGAAGCTGAACTGTTGCCACAATAACAGGTTTTTGCATTTCATACAGCTTCGGAATGGCTAGGTCAAAGTGAACAAATGTGCCACGACAGTGTACTATTTCAGTTGAATTGATTTATCATGTCCAAAGAAGAATTCTATGTTTTCATTTCATTCCTTCACTCTTACCCTGGATTCTGTAACTCAGGTAAGGCAGGACTGCTGTTTAGAAGTCTACTTGGGAAAAAAATACTGTATCACTCATTGTACATTTTTCAGAATATATAGTTTAGGTTTCATAACAGCTCTAAGGTTAATGTTATCTCAATTTATGCATGGAGGAATCAAAGCTAACAGAGCTAAAAAAAAATACCTAAGATGAAATGGGGGAGTGCTGGAACTCTGAACACTATATTGTGATAAATGTCTATTGTGTGTTTCCTAGGGTCCACCTCTCTTCCTAGAATGTCCACCAGCCATTCATTTATCGTGTTAGTCACTCTTCTGATAATTAATTCAATCTGAATACTGCCCTTATAAGGACCACATAGATAAATATCAGAGCTTTCTGGGAGTTTGTGTTCTCCACAGTGTCCCAGACTAAGACACAATCACCTTGAACACTCATTCCTTAACTGAAAAGTCTTTCTTGATCTTGGAGTCAAAAGCTTCTGGCACTTAGTCCTTGACCTTAGGCTTACTCACTTGAGACTTTGTGTCTTGGGGACATGACAGAAGGAAAGAATCCAGAGTACACCATGCCGTTTAGCAGTCTGCTCATTGCTGGCATGAAAATGTGCTCATTTCACTGGTGCAAGTTTTGTCTCTTCAGGGTAGCGTCTGGGCAAAATGACAATGCGTGGATGGTTGTCATCACCATCTGCATTTTGCCTTGTAGACAATCTTAGAGTACCACCAGCTGTTCTGTATAACTGTGTGAAACTCCAAGTCCTCCAGGGGAAGAAAAGCATAAGGACACAGCCCTATTTGCTGTGAAGGAAATGCAAGCGTATGGAACCTGGGGGTGGAGAGAAAGGCAGAGAGAGCCCTGCATTTGTTACAGCTAGAGTTTGCTTTTGTGTGCTGGCAAGACAAGAGAAATGTATGCAAATTCAGAACAGAAAGTCATGGAACTTGTATTTGTGTTTGGCCGGTTGAAAAATGCCATCACATCGAGTACTCAAACATCCCACCCACGTTGCAGAAGAGAAGTATAAACACAGCTCTCTAGGGTGCTGGGTATAGCCTGAAAGAGGTACATGTATTTTTAGATTCTAGATTTATCATAAGAAAATCATGATGCACTTGTATGAGTTTAAATATAAAACCAAACTTTCCCACCAAACTTCTAGAAAAATAGATGGCCTTGTTTAGAGAGAGCATTAATACCCTGAAATGCAGGTATTTGAGGGATCAAATTAAGAGTGGGGGCACATATCTTTAAACTTAGTACTTAATAGGTAAAAGCTGAAGATTGGGAGCCCAAGATCACCTAAGCTATGTAAGAGCCTGTCTCAAAAAACACGCAAACCTAAAATCCGGCTCAGCTTTCCTGATAGAAGTTGAAGGATGTAAAACACAGCCATCATTTAACATGCTGTTGCTCTAGGCTTCCCAAGGGCAAATGGCCCTGCAGAGGACACAGAACTGCTGAGGCTTGCTTCAACCCAGGCTTTAGCTATTGAGAAGTTTTTTGGCTTCTGTATCGTGAGTGGGCAGGCTCTGAGAATGCTATTGTACATGGCAAAGGAATCTCCTGAGTTACCCTCATTTGGAAGAAACTCCTCTATAGTCCTTTGGATTATTTCAATGTCTCTGGGCCTTCGTAAGCCTAATAAAAATGTTTTTTTAATTAAATAGGGTCTTATAATTATAAATCTTCAGATTTATATCTGTAATAGAAATTGTCTTGAAATCAACAAAGGTACTAATAGAAGTCTAATCAGTTAATAAGTTGTCATTTTCAGAGGTTCTCATGTTAACTTTACTATTAATTGTACATATGGATAATTAAAGACATTCCCTTTATCTGTTTGTATAGTGCTAGATGATGACAATAAAATAACTTGGGTAGTTGAGATCAAACACCTTCCCTTAGATCATGGCTCTCAGCACATGAACTTGGGTTAACACACTCAAACCTCTTTTGGTCTTTACCCAGTATTAAAGAATTTTTTAAGGCCATAATTCATCTGATATATCTTGCCTCTATTTAGTGATTAACACACATATGATTATGAGTTGAGTATGAAAAGGCATAAGAGTGTCCCAACACCAAAGGAATTACAGGTTTATGAAGTCAGAGACATATTCATTATCTCCACACTCAGAGTTGTATGTTTATTGATTTTTTTTTATCTGAGTGTTCCAATGTCTGAATGAAGTGGGAATAAAACCTCACTCTGTCTTTTAAATTGCCCATAGCATTTTGTTTGTATGTGTGTTAAAGTATTTACATTTGCATTACATTTTTCAGTTAGAGGTAAGTCATGGCTCCTACATGCCAAGATTGTATTTTGACAATAAGCAAAGCATTGCCAGCCACCACCATTTATGAAGAGCTTTGCATGCGTCAAATATTGCATCTCATTTATTTTTTAAATAATGCCATTATATAGATGCTGCAACAGTTATTTCAAATTTGAGATAATGGATGACTAGTGATACTATGTACCCTGACCAAAGTTACAGAGTTAGAAAGAGGAAGCAATGGATTTCAAACTCAGGCCATTAGGCTTCAAGGCACATATACTTAACTTTGTACCAACTGTACAATGCCAGACTGTTTTATTTTCCCTGTGCCTTTACCTCTGGAGTTACCAGAATACTCTGATAAATTCCTGTGCTCATTTAGTTGAATGAAAGTAGAAGTGACTCAGTGGAGTTTTGTGTACCAAAGTCGGTATACAGTAGTCTCATTTGTAATAAAGGGGAGAGGGATGTGCAAGAACACAATTCTGATCTCTTAGAATAATACATTTACTGCAGACTGGGTAATGTATAATGATTAGAAATTTATTGACTCATAGTTCAGGGACTTTGAAATCCAAGATCCAGGAGCTGTAATGTAATGAAGAGGCGTCTTACATCATCCCATGGTGGAAAGACAAGGAAAGGGTGAAAGATACAGTAGCATTAATCCATTCATGAGGGCAATGTCTCCATGACCCAAAGTTGGCATGACATATTCAAGCTATAACACTTAACCTTCCTTCTTAGGGGGAAAAAGCCCTGTATTCTTCTCTGGTTACATAAATCCTTCCAACATCGTCATCCTGTGAGAGTTTTTACTTTTCCGACTCCCCAGTCGTGATCCCAGCCCTAGCTATGATCTTCAAGCCTTTAATCCAGGCATTGGGTTAGGTCTGAGGAATTAACTTAAGTAAACTTAAGGATAAGACTCTTGCTTCTCCCTCTCAGAAGAAGAATTAACCTCTCAAAATTATAATGTTAGAAAACTAATTAATTCTATTTATTCATCTACTTAATCAACTCTCATTCTTTCAACAACTCATTGTTTTGATTTTATACAGTTTCAACCTTCAAGGTGTTCACAGTCAATGACAACCAGCAGGCAACTCAATGATTAATGCAAACACTGGCTGTCCCAGTTTGCCTCAGCTCTGGGATCTCCTACGATGTGGGACTTACCTGGCCCAAACCGGGACAGCCACTGACAGTTGGGACAGTCGGTTATTTGAAACCCGTGACTCAAACTGTAAAGCCAAGGTGACATATCCCAGCAGACAGATGTGGAGCTCAGTCTCATAGTATGCGACTCCACATTGTTTATGAAATTGATGAATCTAAACACAGGGACACATGTGAAGAGAGAGAACGAATACAGCCACAGCCACAGAGCTTTGACCTTTCTGAGTGAACACTAAACTGGCTTTAGAAATGAGCTCCTTTTGTTTTCTAGAGACCCATCTTCCACATCCCACTCTTTTCTGCATCCACAGCCTGATCCCGATTGCAGGGCACGTGGAGCAGAAAGCACTGTAGAATTTTAAGTTGGCTACAATCACCCTGCGGATATCAAAGGATGAAGAACTCTCTGGAGCAGCAAAGCGTGGCTAAGTATGCAACAGCTTCGTTGGCTGAGTGACACTTAGCCACTGGGGATGCCTCTTCGGTATGGTGGAGACAGTACTGAAGCTTTCTCAGTTGACCTGGGCAGGAGCACAGGTTGGAACCTCTGCTGAGGACAGACACTCTCTGTTCCCAAGGAAGAACTTGATCTCTGGAGGCTTGCGATGAAAGACTATTGCAGAACTGCCAGAAAACATAATAATTGCTGTGATTATGATTATGAGCGCCTTATAATTGCTGCTCCATCATGCCAACTATCTTGGGAAGGAAAGAGGAAGGCTTTATAAATAAATGATCACTTAAATATTTAAACAGATGATTATAATATACAACTTGAAATTTGCTGCTTTTATAGACCCTTAAAGGCAAGTGCTACTTACAAGTCTGGGTGATTTGAATAGGCTTCCTAGTTCAGATGTTTGGTAGTCTGAGATATGTATTTGTGTGGAAGGACCTTGTACAAAGTCTGGGTGATAGATAAATGCTGTGGATATCACTCTATATAAATAAAACACTGATGGCCAGTGACCAGGCAGGAAGTATAGGTGGGACAAAGAGAGAGGAGAATTGGGGAAACAGGAAGAAGGGGAGAGAGACACTGCAGCCACCGCCAGGACAAGCAACATGTAAAGACGCCGGTAAGCCACCAGCCACGTGGCAAGGTATAGATTTATAGAAATGGG